TTCTGGTTGTAATGGTAATATTCACATTTGTTACCAAAAAGTTTTTAGTAACAATTTTTAGCATCTGTATTGTAAGTGACAATAATAAAGATATATGGTCACTTTATTTCTAATGTCGGATACAATCTTATACTACAGTGATAATTTTGTACCTCATAAAATAAATGTAATCGCAATTACAAATAATATTATCTAACATTTTTTGCGATGATTAAAATTGACAGGAAATAACGTGCAACACACGTTTATAGAGACTAGTATAATTAAAAGAGATTATGTATACCTTATCTGCACATTATTATTTTTCAACAAAGTGAATTCGGTTAAACCCCTTCCTTCTGCTTAGTTCCATCACTATTTGTAGATATCCATCTATAAATGCTCATGAGAAATCTGAAAAAACGTGTAATACTAATAACTAAATAAGTTTTCAGGAATCTCGGGCTCCCAAACCCAAGTGGAGCAAGCTCGGCACAGACAAGATGATTCAACATTGCAACAACTTGTGTTTCATTACCTCGAGAAGTAGCTAAATATATCGAGGTCAAAGCTCAATTGCAAATTTTGCGGCTTAAAACTTGTTGGTTTAGCCTACGTATGACTATGAAAAATCATGTGAAGAAATCATCATCTGAGTTTGAAGAAATTATTTGGAACAATCCAGTTCTGATCTATCTTCAATGACTACGCAGTGTTCATATGCCTTTTCCTTATACACTTCTCTCTCTCTCTCTATCTCTCTCTCTCTCTCTCTCTCTCTCTCTCTCTCTCTCTTCAGCCCTTCTCCGAAACTTTCAAACTTCTTCTCTACCATGGATGAAGATCAACCAATAATCCCCACCATAGTCGAGAAAACTCCAGAGAAAACCCTTGACTCCTCCGTTTGTGAAACACCTCTCACCGTTCCCTTTTCCACCACCACTGCAGATGATACTCCTAAACCTGATTCTCCTTCACCCTCTATTTCTCCCATCACTCCCTCAGACCCTTCTCCCCCTCTAAGTGTTGAGAACTCAGAAACCCCCAAACTCGATAGCTTCTCGTCTCTGCCGCTTGAGATTCTCACAGCCCAAAACAAAGATGGAGAACAGAGTGAGACTCCACAGGTAGAAAATTGTTCTGAGGGTAGCATTGATCAATCAAATTGCGCTCATATTCATTACCGTAGGAATTGGGTTCAAGCTTTCCCCAGCCCCTTCTCATCAATGGACTCCTGACGTATACGAAGGAGTTGCGGTTCGTTCGAGAAATTCCGTACCTCTCTATCTATCTCTGACGATGTTTGGATNTCTCTCTCTCTCTCTCTCTCTCTCTCTCTCTCTCTCTCTCTCTCTCTCTCTCTCTCTCTCTCTCTCTCTCTCTCTCTCTCTCTCTCTCTCTCTCTCTCTCTCTCTCTTAAAAATTCTGTCACTAATAATAACACTCTCTCCGACGGCTACCCCAACGACTATATTGACTAGCGCGTTTCTTCATGCTCTACCAGATGGAGCTGCCAGGAAGCCTACTTCTGGTGCGTAAGGAGAAGCAAAACATCCCTCTCGAGGGAGCGACACTACCCAATGAAGGAATTGAAAAGAAAATATCATATACTACAACTGTTACGGCTCCTTCATTATCTACCATGAACTCAATCCGCCATGAAAAGGAGAAAGTAATTGCAAAACATACAACTCACAATGGAATGACAACTGTGATTTTCAAGGCCAAAGACTACTATGGCATAATGGCAGAAGAATGTAAGTACACTATCGTTGGTCGATTTCTTAAACCCCGTCCCCAAATTGATAGAATTAGGTCAAGATTTAAGGAGCTTATAACTCTTAACGGATCTGCCAGAATCGGTGTGTGTGACAACTACAATATTTTTATTGATTTATTTAATGAGGAGGATTGGCAAACGGTGTGGTTTAAAAGGGTAATTGAAATTGATGGTCGACAAATGTGGTTACGAAAATGATCGCCTGATTTTAAGCCTAAGGAAGACCTTTCAGTTGCTCCGGCGTGGGTTCTTCTCCCGAAATTGCCATTCCACATGCACACATGGCATTACGTTAAACAAATTCTTAGCTCTGTTGGAACTCCTTTGGTCTTAGATGCTGCTACGTACGACAGAACTAGACCTAGTATGGCCAAGATCAGGGTGGAGGTTAATCTACTTAAACCACTGCCGGAAAGTGTTTTCATAAGCCAAGAATATGAGGACTCACCATTGGATGGCTACACTTAGAGATTGGAATATAAGGGCATAGCTAAATACTGTAAGCATGGGACACAATGTGATTGAATGAAGGGCCTTAGAGAAGAAGAATGCAACAAATTTGGAGGAGGTAGAAGGAAAAAGTAATAAGCAGCCTCCTAAGAACAAAGTTGCAAGTAAGAAAGATGATCATGACAATGATGTATAGAAAGTTGGGACAGAAATAATGAAGACTCAGAAGACAGTAGAGGGAGAACAACATCCAGAGACAAACACAAAATCTTGATGAAGAAATGACAAAACAGAGGACTGATAATTCTCTGGTACAACATAATCTGGATGCAGAAACAAGTAGGAAGAAGAAAAAGAAAGCAAAGAAGATGCTAAAAAAGAAGAGCAGTGTCAAATTCAAACATGCAATCCGAGAAAAGAAAACTAAGATGCATTATAAAGTTAAGCCACCACCAGCTCAGCAACAACTATCAGGCTCTATGATTGGAGATAGCCAGCAAAAGAGTGCAATTAATCAATGTCGAGCAGCTGCAGGTGAGATAACAGGTACTCTAAACCAGTATAATGATACGGAGAAGACCAAAGTAGATAGCACAGGGAAGGAGGAATGGAACAATGATAAAGACAACACTGACGGACAAAGATCCAAGGAAGACAAACATGGGAATACAACTGAGGATGTCCACTCAACCTGTTTACCCTCGGAGATCAAAAACCAAAAAGCCATAAATGTTTGTGTTGATCTTAACTGCGAACACCTGACAAACCAAAGCTAAATGCCGGAATGTTGCAATCAAGGAAAAATCAACCATCTAAAGGATGAAGCTACTATGGAATCCAAAACAATGACTGACGGGTATGAGGTTACTTATCAGAACCAAAATGAAAATGGATCTCCTAGAACTAGAGGCAGAAGCAGAAACAGAAAGAATGGCATGAAGAATAATAACAAAATGATCTGACAGAGATAACTGAAAGCTCTATAGGAAAGGGTGAATCTTGTGAACCCCCTAGGCCAGAGGAAGGAGCAGAAAAAAATTGGAAGACAAACAAAAGACAACATATCAAGAAGAGGAAACAAACAGAACACCTCCCCCTCAATCCAATGATTAGTATAATTTTTTGGAATATAAGAGGGGTGAGATCCAAGAAAGCTATTCACAGACTCAAACTGCTTACCAACATTAACAAAGTGGTTTTTGTGGCTATTTTTGAACCTTTTGTTGATGAGTAAGATCCATGGTTACAAAAGATTTTTAGAATTTCAACATTATTCTGGTAAGATCTAGTGCTTCTGGAACTACCTAGATCGCACTGAAGTGTTGGAAGATAATGCACGACAAATCACTCTCAAAATGAAAGATCATGTTGCAGATACAGGAACCTTTATTACAACAATATATACCAAATGTACTGCCGGGGAAAGAAGGGATCTGTGGGATAGCATTCATAGCATAAACAACACGATTGACGGACCATGGTGTGTGGGTGGTGATTTCAACATTATCATGGACCCGGATGAAAAATTAGGGGGTAATCCTCACAGAGCATATAGGAGTCTAGATTTTATTAGTACTATTGAATCATATGGCTTAATGGACATTGGTTTCACTGGACCAAGATACACTTGGTGTAATAATAGAAGACCTAGCAAAAGGATTCGAAAGAGACTGGACAGAATTATGATTAATGATCAATGGACTCAACTTTTCCAAAACAACACTGTGAAGCATCTGGTAAGAAATGGTTCTGATCATAGACCTTTATTATTAAAGTGTCACAGTGATCAACAACATCACATCAATTACTTTATATTTCTCAATTTCTGGACCACCCAACCTGGTTTTCTGGATATGATTCAGGAGGTATGGAATACAAATGTTGAAGGTAATGCTATGTGGAGGCTTCAAAGCAAACTGAAGCTTCTAAGTAAGCATCTCAGTCAATGGTCGAGGAAAATCATTGGGGACATTCATGAACAAGTGTGTTCCTGGGAAGCTAAAGTGCAAATTTTGGAAGATACTGATATGCAAAACAACAATGAGCAAGGAAGGGAATATCTCAACAAAGATTATGCCGAATATACTAGATGGCTGGGTATGCAAGAGTCTTTAATGAAGTAGAAATCTAGAATTAACTGGTTTAAGGATGGTGGTCGCAACACTAAATACTTTCACAGTGTCCTAGAGACATGAAGAGGAGACTTCAACTTCATAGAATTAAGAATCACAGAGATAGATGGATACAGGATGATGAAAAAATTGTTAAGGCTGCAGTTAAGCACTTTAAAAGATTCTTCAATTTAACAATGACATCCTTAAATGCATTCATAACATTATTACAGAGGAAGACAATGAGATGTTAACTATGATGCATGTGGAAGAGGAAATCAAAGAGATTGTTTTCAGTATGAGCATTGAGAGTTCTGTTGGACCTGATAATTTTAATGGGAAATCTTTTCAAGCTTCATGGATATAATCAAGCAAAACATCATTGATTTTATCACTGAGCTCTTTAGAGGGAAGAACCTCACTAAGTTCTACTCTCACACCTGTATTGCTCTTATTCCCAAAGTGGATTTCCCTTCCAGATTCGAAGAGCTTAGACCTATTAGTCTAAGCAATTATACTGGTAAGATCATTTCAAAGCTTTTATCCAGAAGATTGAACTCTCTGCCATCTAAGCTAATCTCTGATAATCAAAGTGGTTTTGTATCTAGAAGACTAATCACGGAGAATGTCATGATATCTCCAAACCTAACAAGGGAGGGAATATTGTTATGAAACTTGATATGGCTAAAGCCTATAATAGGCTATCCTGGAGTTTCCTCATTGAAGTTCTAAATAAGTTTGGATTCTACAGGGAATGGTCTGATATGAATTGTAGAATATTCTCGAATGTCTGGTACTCCATAATTATCAGTGGAACTCGGCATGGTTTCTTTACTTACTCTCAGGGCCTCAAACAAGGGGATCTTTTATCCCCCTCTCTTTTTATTCTTGCTGCAGAGGTATTGTCTAGATCTCTGAACAATCTCCATCATAATGAGAACTTTACTAGATTTTCTATGAATAAGAGAGGTCCTCAAATTAATCACTTGGCTTATGTCGATGACATTGTTATATTCTGTGGTGGCAACTCAAAAACTGTCAATCTTGTGATCAAAGAAATCAGAAAGTATGAAAAGGCATCGGGTCAGCTTGTCAACAAGGATAAAGGTTTCTTTCTCACTGGCCCTAAAGCTAGTGCTTATAGAATCAACAGATTGAGAGATTGCACTGTATTTATGGATAAGAGTTTTCCCTTCACATATCTTGGATGTCCAATATATATTGGAAAGAAAAAGAGTTGCTTCTTTGATAACATGGTCACTAAGGTTGTTAAGAGGTTGAATGTATGGCAAGGTAAAATGTTAACCTATAGTGGCAGAGTGGTTCTCATCAAAAGTGTTCTACAGTCCATGCCTACTCACACGCTTACAGCTCTAAACCTTCCCAAAGGTACTTTGAACCTTATAGAGAAACATATGGTTAGGTTCCTTTGGGGAACCAATGAGGGGGTGGGGGAACTATCACTGGAGCTCCTGAAAACTTTTGTGCTTCCCTAAAGATGAAGGTGGCATTGGCATTAAAAGTCTTGAAGCTATCTCTAACACATTAACTATCAAGAGGTGGTGGAGGTTTAGAATAAAACCTTCACTATGGTTAGACTTCCTCAAAGCTAAATATTGTCCAAGAAGTCATCCTGTTAAAAAGAAGTGGATCTCGGGTAACTCACAGGCTTGGAAGCACTTGCTATTGGCTAGAGACAAAGCTGAAGGCAACATCAGTTGGCAAATTAACTCTGGAGACTGCAACTTTTGGTGGGATAATTGGACTATGACAGGTCCTTTGGCTTATAGCAATGCTAATTTAGTTACCACCATTGGTAACAAGACTAATAGTTGTGAGTTTATTATCAATGGTCGTTGGGATATTAATAAGCTACGCAATACTCTTACTAATCAGCTTGTGGAAGTTATTAGCAACATCAACATTGGCCAATCGACTGAGAAAGACGATGTTGTATGGAATGGTACTGAAGATGGACATTACTCTAATAAATTTGCCTGACACATTGTTCAAAATTAGAGGCCTAAGAATATTTTTTCAGTAAGCTTTGGCATAACTCTATCCCCTTTAAATTTTCCTTTCTAACATGGAGATTGTGCTTAGGCAAACTCCCCTTTGATAAAATGCTTGCTAGATTTGGCAACCAAATAACTTCTAGATGTATCAAATGCCTAATAATGATTCTATTCAACATACTTTTGTGGATGGATAAGCAACTAAGCATATTTGGAAATACATTGGTGCTCCTTTAGGAATCACTCACTATCATTGGCAGATCAACAGAGTGATTAAAGAATGGTGGGATATTACTCCAAAAAATATTATCTACAAGCTTCTGTTGCAAATTGCTCCGATGGTCATCTGCTGGGAACTATGGAAAAGCTTGACGGCATGTGAATACGGGGAGCACAAAAAGTTCTACAATAGTAGGATGAAATTTCAAATTATATGGGACATCCAAGCAGCCATTCTGGATACTTATCCCAACTATAATAGATCATGAACTTGGCCTAGCATTTGTAATATGCTTGAAAGGCTTCAACATACAGTGAATATCAAGCAAGTCATTTGGAATAAGCCTATGGTAGGGATGATCAAACTCAATACAGATGGAAGCTTTATCAAAGAAAATGGAAAGGCTGGCATTGGAGGTGTTTCAGGGACAGTGATAGAGAGTTTCTCATGGCTTTTTCGTTCCATGTTGATTGTAGCAGCAACAACCAAGCTGAAGCAATTGCGGCCAACTTTTGCATTAAGTGGTGCACGCAACAAGGCTTAATATGCTACACATTACATTTGATTCTATGGTTATTGCCAACATGCTTCTCAACAAGGGAACCAACAATCTAAAATTAAAGAACATTATCATGGATACTACTCATACTCTCAAAAAAGCTACTGTACAGATTTCTTATTGCTTCAGAGAAGCAAATCAAGTGGCGGACTTCCTTGCTAAGTTTGCATCTTCTAGCGGAACTGGCACCTTCTATCCAACAGATTCTAACAGAAGCCAAGGGGATAATTCATCTAGATAGATGGCAACTTCCTTCCATGAGAAGAAGATACCATAAATGTAATTTTTTTGTTAGTTGATTTATATATATGGACTAGTTGAAAGGAACCTAGGTTATCTCCTTTCTTTCCCTGGATATAGAGGTAAGGTACATGTCCCCCTCTACTTTGTACACTTCTATTTATGAACAGACATGGTAGGGGTCTTGCCTAACCCCTCACACCAAAGGCTTTAACCTGAAGGTGATGGCTTTAAAAAAAATATGCATTTTCCTTTGATATGCTTCTTTGTGTGCTTTTTTTTTAGATTGTAAAATTCAAGAAAGTACTCAATTAAAGAAGCGCAAATGCAGAATTAATCCAAACCCTTGAAATTTTTAACGCCCACGTGGCTAAAATCCAGTATCGCACATTTGGTAGTACTGAATGGAAAGTTACTAGGGTTGATCTCCTCCCATGGCGTAGATATATCACACAGTAAGACATAATATTTTACCATAGAGCTATTCGATGGTAGATTCAAAAATTCTAAAAGGGGTTCAACTAATAATGTACTAAAAATTTTCTTTGTACAAATCAGATTCAACAAATTATATATATACATAAAGAAATTTAACCTATATATACACAATGGTGAATCTAGGATTCCAAGAAGATGAGTGTACTATTATAATAAGGTGAATCTAGAATTTGACGGGTTCAACCTTTAGGTTCTTACCATGAATCCACTACTATTTAGAAATTATAGGTTCAAATTAAAAAAAATTCTTACAAGGTGGGAGTGGCATCTGTGGAAGCCAAGTTACGGGAATCGAGGCTGCGATGGTTTGCGCATGTGAAGAGGAGAGATATAGATGCCCCGGTTAAAAGGTGTGAGAGGTTGACTATGGCGGGCTTGAGGAAGGGAAGGGGTAGGCCTAAGAAGTATCGGGGAGAGGTGATTAGGCAGGACATGTCGGTGCTTCACCTAACCGAGGACATGACTAAAGATAGTAAGGTGTGGAGGTCGAGGATTAAGGTGGTGGGTTGACAGGTATTTGCGAGCTTTTCATAGGTTCACCAGTAGTACTAGTAATATTCTTGCTGTCGATTGAAAGTTCTTCCGTCTAGTTTGTTATTGTATCTGGTATTTTGCAACCACGTCCTTTGTTTTTGTAAATTACTAATGGGATTGTCACTCTCTGATTGTTACTGTTTGATGCTACTTTTCTTCCCTTTTACTGGATATTGTTGCTCTCTGATGGTTACTATTTGATGATAGTTTTTCTCCTCTTTGCTTATCGCCTTTCTCCCCCCTCCCCTCCCCCCCCCCCCCCTCTTTCCTCCTCTTCTTCTCCCCTATTCTTCCTTTCCACCTTTTCTTGAGCCGAGGGTCCTTCGGAAACAGCCTCTCCATCTCTCCAAGTAGGGATAAGGATAGCGTACTCACTACCCTCCCCAGACCCCACCCGTGGAATTATACTGGGTATGTTGTTCTTGTTGTTGTTGTTGTTGTACTTATACTCCATATAAAAACTGCTGAGATCACTGAATCATGCTACATCATCCACTGCTATTAGTTTTAATTATATAAAATTTATCAATGACAAAGGGAGATCAAGGATTTCAATGTATTAGATTTGGAGATTTTGAATGAATAAATCAAATTAAAAATACTTAATTAAAACACAAGGGGACACTATAGACATGCCTACAAATTGAGAATTGAACTTTCTAACTTTACTTGTAAAGTTGCACCCAATAATTATTGAACTATAGGACTCTTTGAGCTTGGATGTACACATGTATACTTAAGCAATTTTTAAGAAATATAACATTATTATACATGATATAGAGAGAGGAGCATGGGTTCATGTGCTCCATGCTCCAACACATAGATACGCCCCTGTATATACAGTATTTATAATTTTTCGGCGAAGGGAACCTCCCCTACAGTATCGTCACCGCAGTAGAGTTTAACCACCAAGTTCGAGATGGATTGGTGTGGTTCCTCTACGGTTAGGACACCAGAATATCGAACCATGAACGAAGAAAGGTATGAGAGAAAAGCATATTGGCTAGTGATTGTGAGGCCCCAATTCTTGACTGGAGAGGACACCAAAGGCCTCTGCCCTTCCATCCCTTGGATAGATCACCATACATAGCTCCGTCACTGGATCTATTATTGATGCATATCTATGTGCAAATTCATAAATTATAGAACTACAATTGTGCGATTTGTATTTCTATAATTTGACGGATAAAAGTAAACTAATCCATTAAATAAATTCTATTTGACACAAATTATTTACAATAGATGATTAAAAAGAATGATTATTACCATTGACAGTTTCTGGGTACTCCAGATAAAGATCTGAAAACCAAGTAGTGGAAACAAGCAAATCAAATTGCAGATTTTGCTGATTACAACAAATGCGAAAAACATATATTTGTTGTATATTTTTTGTATATATATTCTATATGTTATATACAAAAATCATATAAATTTTATACGGCTTTTTCGGCTATCGACTATAAATAATTTCTTGCGCGGGATAAAAGTAAAAAAAAAACCCTACAAAATATAGTAGTCAGAATGATGAAGGTGAAGCTTGGGCCAATTTTAATAGGCCTATCCATTTTAAACTGAGAGTTCCAGCTGGCCTTAAGAAACTTAGGAAAATCTATATTGTGTAGGCGCCTCCTCAAAATAATAGCTTTGTACATTAATATATAATAAAATATGGGATTTTTTTGTTCCTATATATTATTTGAAACTTTATTATCAAAAATGTCCACATTTAGTTAATTACCCGACCTAAATAAGTTTTATCTGCAAAATATATACATTCCACCTTAAAATGCTCCAAATCCATTATTAGTGTCTTCAATCAAGGGATTTAGTTACACTCTTTTCCTTCTTTTTTTCTTCCTCTTCTCTTTCCTTATTTTTCTTCCGCATTAATATACGATAATCATCAGGATTTACAGAAACATAACAACCCGAGCTCTCACAATCATCATCAGAAACAGTGTTGATCACATAACTAGGAGCAGTGGACTCATAACTAGGAGCGATGTCAAGCATCTGTGTTGGGTCTGATGTGGTAATAATATTATTGGGTTTTGGAGGAGGAGGTGATGGTTTTCTGCTGGTTGAGAGGGTAGTGGAAAGGAAAATTATCATGATTACAACAATTACTGTAAGAAGGGAAGATGGAAATAGTTTAGCCATTAATGATCTTTGCACAATTGCTATTATACAACTTTCACATATTATTTTACCTAGTTATATACAACTACAATATCATACCATTTAAATACAATTTTTATACAAATTATATACAATATGTCTTTTGTATATTTTGTATCTGATTTATACATAGTAAAAATAAATTTCATACAACTAATTATATATTATACAACTTATCTACAACTTTCATACATTATTTCTACTGAGTTATATACAACTACAATATCATACAACGTAAATTTTATACAATATTTAGAGCCATCAATATGGGTTTGCCCGTTGGGCTAGCCCAGCCCAACCCGTGATTTAGTAGGGCTGGGCTAGAATTTTTTGAGCCCATTTAAAAATGAGGCTTTAAAGCCCGGCCCGATTAAGCACGTGGCCCGTGAGGCTTGACTGGCTAGGCTGGGCTGGCCCGTGGGCCTAATAAAAATAAGTATTTAGAATATATAGAATATAAAAAGTATATGACACAACAAATAACAAGAAGAGTATCACAAGTTTAAAATTTATTAAGCTCATCATATTAAAAGATCAAAGTCTTAAAACGTTAATTAGTTTTAAAATTTTAATTATTCTTAATATTTAGCTAATTAATATTGCATAGGAGTTGTAGATGTAGATGAAAGTGAAGATGTTAAGACAACCTTCTCACAAGCGGATTCAAATCTATTTTATGATGAGGATGTGTTGGATATCCCATAAGCGCCATGGACATTTGTTTTGAGTTTTGACTTTTAGTGAATGAAATATAGTC